GAATCTCCCGTGTCAGCAAGGAGGCCTCAACATGTAAAGATGCTCGGTGTCATCCCACACCACTAGATTTCTGGGTTACCCTACACTTGGAGAAGCATCTAGAAACATGGCATGCAGACCAGCAGAGAAAACATCGCTGGTGTGTCTCGCCTAGGTTTATGTTCAAAAATCTCTACTGGGCTCTCCCAGAAGCCGTAGTTTCCAAATAAAATTCCACTGCCAAATGTGGAAGACTTCCCCTAGAGTTGTTGGTCAAGGGTATCCTGGGGACACCCCAGAACAATACAGCTCTTATCATTGCTCTTAGTTCTCCTCTAGAACTTGATAATAAGGCCCAGTTAATGGAGGCATCAAACATTTTTGTCACAGGAAATCAAGAATTAATAAAAATATTATATATTTGAAGCTGGGTGGTGATGATGCATGGCTTTAATTCCAGCACTCTGAAGGCAGAGGCAAGCGAATCTCTGAGTTCAAGGTCACCCTGGTCTACACAGAAAAACCCTGTCTTGAAAAAAAATTATTATATATTTTTAAAATCTCAATTATAAAATTCACAGAAGTCAGTGAGTATCCACTGTGCAACTTTTGCAAGCCACCCCCAGGCCACACTCGAGGTTCAGGGGTGATGGGAAGTGATGCTGACTCAGCATTTCCCTGGCAGCATCTTGAACTTCTCAAAGCACATCACACATGCTAACTCATTTGCAATGCTCACAGCCAAGTCCAAACATTGTTAATGTGATCCTTAGATTCCTCCAAAGCAGAAAACGAAAGCCTGGATCTTAAGAAGTCAGTTCAAGGTCAAAAAAATGAAGAAATAGCGCTGAGATTCAGAGAGGAGCAAAGCATTTGTGACCATGTTTTCTGACATTGCTAAAGCCCTCAATGGGAAATCGGCAACCTGCCAGGACAGTGCTCCCCTCAGAAGCATCCTCAGCCAAAAGCCCATGGTCGTCAATCCCTCGTTGTTAGCCTAATTAAGTGGCCCTCTTGCTCTACAAGTCCTAAGTAAACACATCTGCAGAAATATCGCATGATCCTCCACATTCCCACAGGGTTTGGTGGCATAGTTGCACTATCTTGAAGGAAATTGGAAGTTCCTGCATCCCATGTCATTTTTCCCATGGGAACATGAGCCACCCACCTTGAGCTAAAGCACTCCCCAGTGAGAAGGCAATGACAGGGTGGGAATGTGGGGAGAGAGGCATCTGTATCACTTCTCCTCTGTTTGGAGACTCAGGGACTAAGACCAAAACCACAGGTGGTTTTCTCAACTGTGCTCACTAATATGGTCTATGGTGAAGAGCCACCTTGAACAAGGTCAAGTCTGCACTTGCCCAAGACCTCATTCCTAGCTGCTATCTCGTCCCCATCATTAGTACTGTGTGAACCTCCCATCATAGCCACTGTGTATTGGCTCCCCTTACAAAGGCTTTTGTCCAAAATCAAGCCCTTAGACTATCTGTATTTTATTCTTTTATGTGCCAATATCCTCTAGAAGGGCTCTAAGTTTTTAATAGATATGTAAATCTTTTGACCAAAGAATCAAAAGAGTTCATCTTTGTTAGGCATAGCCTCACCCAATAAAAGCTGGATTATTTATCTACATATATAATTTTAACACTCCTTTTTACTGGTATAAAACACGATAAAAGGAAGATAAACAAAACTTCTAACTACATGGTTGGAAAAGGGAAAATCAACTTGGGGTGGGGGTGGGGGCTCAGAGAGGGTGATAATGACAGTTCCAGAAGGGTAATGCCATAATGGCTTTCTGTGCCTGTTTTATATGCTTGCCCTGGCTGTCATGAATCCCTGCTTCAGATAAATCATACCCAGCCTTTGCTATCTTAAATACTGGTAAGAGAAAGCCCTGTGCTGATTATAACGCTGGGCAAATGTTAGTTTTAGACTCATTAAGCTGTCACTGGCACTCATGCAAACAGCGTTTAAACTTTGGGTACTTGGCAGTATGCATGCATGTTGGCAGCAGAAATTCTAGAGACATGGACCCTAGATTGAGATAAGGAAAGAAAGCTATACATGCATGAGCCCATTCTGTATATATTATGAACATTTAAATTCAAATGTTTGAAACAGACCTCAAAGGCAGTGACTCCAAAGGATGACCAAGGTCTCTGTGGGTCTCAGCATTCTCCTGAACTGTCTGAAACATCCAGCCATCTGAGTTTTGTCTTCCTTTTACTACCCCTGGATCTAGAACATTCACCAGACCAGCAGGTTTTTCTGAGATAATGAAAGAGGGCTTAGAGGTCAGACAAACCCGAGTTCAAATTATGGTGATTGTGTGTATGAGAGTTTGGGTGTGGCACCTTCAATCCTTCTGATTATTTTGTTCCCACTCTACAAAACTGAGATAATAGAAATGTTCCAGGTGGCTCTATGCATCAGAGACAATGTAAACAAAGTTCACAGAATAGTGCCAACTCAAGTAAGTCTTCATACTATTGTTATTTAATATCTGGCATCAAGTGCTGAAAACCAGACAAGAGCTGCTTAGGTGAAGTCATAAAACACGCAGGTGTCCAGGGCAAAAAAAAAAAAAAAAAACGATTCTAACCCATCTCCTCTCTAAATTTCGCAGGGACAAAGCAGGGTTACCTCACCCTTCTGTTCCTTTTACATATAATCAGATCTACTTCCCACGTCAACAATGACCTTTTGAAAAAAAAAATCCCTTCAGCAAGTCCTCAGACCTTTCATATGCTAAAAATTGTTCCCTAGACATCTGGGAGATAGTGACTCTGAAGGTGCCAAGGTGCTGGTAGCTTGAGAGAAACCCCAGGGAGTGTGCTTCTCCCAATGGGTGGTGTGGCGATGACTCTCCTTTTAGGATGATGTGCTAAAAGCTGCTTGCTCAACCACAGAGGCCTCCCTGCCTCTGAGGATCTAGCAAAAGGGTTTACACCATGTCTGGGGTCTGAAGACCCTGGTTTTCATGTGATGTTCCTCAGACTTAACACACATCTCATTATTAAGACACAGTTGAGGGGATCTCGGGAAGGTCTGTAGTCTACCCAATGCCCAGGCAGTGTCATAATAGTTGGTGAGCAATACTTGAAAGAGAAAGGAACTTCAGGGCCACACCAGGGTCTCACAGCATTCTGTCATTCTTGAACTTCAAGAACCAATTAGACAATTATCAACTAACTTTAAGTACAAAACTATCTGGCTACAGTGGCAGGCTGGAAAAGGAGGATAGTATGAATTTGAAGCCAGAGGCTAGCCTGAGCTACAGACTGAGAGACCCTGTCTCAAATACCGAAACAAATTAGTATGAGGCTAACAGAGTATGTCCAGAACTCTCGACTTCCATAAAGAAATTAGCAAATTAATAAACTGTTCTAGCCAGGCATAGTACTGGGGGGGCCACGGGGGGGGGGAGGGTGTCACATCTCAACCCCAATTTGAGTTCGAGACTAGACTGGACTTTATGAATGAGTCCCTGTCTTAAGAAACTAAAACAACAACAATGCTATTAACGTACTTGGAGACTGATGTTACTTTCTCAAGCTAAAACAGCCCTTCCCATAATACAGATTAAAAATCTTTACTTTTTCTTGATAGAGCTGTAGGTCCAGCAGGCTGCTGCACTGGGTAACTGGTTAGTGAGAACACATGTGCCAAGACACACTGTTAATGCCTCTGGATGAGACAGGGTAAGCGAAACACCACACTACTTTAAGAAATCTGGAAAAGTTGGCAAAAAAGAGCATAACAAATAGAATAATCAGGCACTGGTGGTTTCTGAGAGCCTGACATGCGTTCTGTAACTGTCACTGATTTATGTGACGTCTGACCTTTAAGGGACTGAACAAACGAGCAAACCATTTCAGGAACACGGCCCATGTTAAATTAGAAGCTTTATACAGCAGTGATAGGAAAACAACATGTCCTAGGAAATATTGTGGTCACGTGGATGAAACACAGGGCTGGAACCAGGCAAGTGACCCTGCAGGGAGTACTACCAAGTCATTTCACCAGCCAGATGACCTCGCTCACCTAGCCCACCTTCCAGAGTCTCTGCCTGCCAATTGAACATGTTCCTCACACCGAGGCTACAGTTTGGCTCTCCTAAGCTTTTCATGCAGGAGCAGGTAGCCCCTTCTGGAGGTCACATGGGTGAAACAGCTGACATCAGTCATCCTCATTGTCAGTAGATAATCCGAAAGCACAATACAACTGATGTATGTACTTCCATATAAGCCAACTGCCCATGGGAGCACTTAACACCCAAGCCTTGCATGTAGGACAGAAAGTTTCCTGCATAGAAAGTGTTGGGATAGCCGGGCGTTGGTGGCACGCACCTTTAATCCCAGCTCTCAGGAGGCAGAGGCAGGTGGATCTGTGAGTTCGAGGCCAGCCTGGTACACAGAGCGAGTTCCAGGACAGCCTCCAAAACAATACAGAGAGAAACCCTGTCTCGAAAAAAACAAACAAACAAAAAAAAAAGTGTTGGGATTAACTGGTTGGCCACAGGATAGGCAAGACAAACTCATCTTTGAGTTCATTTCTGGGATTTGTTTTATTTTGTACCATCCAAGATGCTCCTCAGGCTGGTATAAGCGTGTTAACCCAGTGCCTTGTATAACGTCTTTAAAAAAATCAGACAAACAATAAACATTTAGGGATATGTGCCCCCTCCCTCCCATGAGACGAGAATGGAAGTCAAGAATCCGATGATGCAAAAACCAAGTCACTTGTTACTTCCAAAAGGCTTCAAGCAGGGAACCTTGGTCCTCTCCTTTGGGGACTGGAACCACCTGCTCTTGTTCCCTGATTGCACAGGGAATCACCTGGGAAGCACTTTAAGACAACATGTGCATGCTTCATTTTAGCAAGAACCCACATGGCTGCCACCCCCCCGGGGGGGGGGAGAGCACAGAACATGTTTTCTTAAAGATCATGCTTTTCTTGAGTCCCGACAATCTTGACGTTTGTTTTCACTCAAGGCAACCATCCCATCTACCCACAATTCTCTCCGCCACTACTTTGCCCACAGAGACCATGACAGTGGTACACTCTGTCCCAACACAAGGTCAAAAGCAAGCCAAGTGTTTCCTTGTTGCCGGCTGTATTTTTCAAAACAAAACGCAAATGAGAAGGAAGCCATTCCTCTCCATTAAGTTTACACCCACAATCCAATCCTTTCTCATCAACTCGCAAACTTTTTCATTCCAGCCTCTATCACGCAAGATTTTCGCGGAACGGTACATGTTCTCTGCTCTTCCAGCACGCACTGGTAGCAAACTCAGTTGCTCGGCTTTGCTCGTGGCCCACGAACACAGTCGTTGGCACTGAGGAGCTCAGCACCCTATACCACCCCCACCCGGGCATAGACACAGCCCGGGCTCCACCAGCTCGACTCCAAAGCCCTGCTTCACAGCGGCGTCTGTCCCCCCCGCAGAGACTCCGCAGGGCCCGGCTTTACCTGAAGCACGTGGTGAGCTCGCCCGAAGACTTCAGACACGGGTATTTGGTCGTGGCGATCTTGTTTTCCGAACACACTTCTCTACGAGGGAAAAAGTTGGAGAGGAAACTCCGTTGAAGGTCAGAGGGAGAGTGGAGAGCTGTACGCGCTGCGCTCTGCCTCCAGACGCACCGGCTGCTACTGGTCCCCGGCGGACTCAGTGACAGAAAAGAGCCGGGAGAGCTTCCCAGAACCGGGCGACCCCGGTCCCAAGTGACTAGGAAAGCCAAAGAAGTCAACACCGGAGCGCGACGGGAAAGCTGGGCGGAGGGCATCCAGCGTCCCGGGGCTGTTCCGTAAGAGATGAAAGTCACCTGGGCCCGCTAAACGCCCTGCTGGTGGCCCAGGGAACAGGGACCTGTGGGTCCGCCACCTGGGACAATCTACACCCCGCCAACCAGCCCTGAGCGCACCCAGGGCGTCCTCCGCTAGGGCAGGTGGCCCTTACCTGTCGCGGTCCTCTGGCTCTTCTCGGTAGGTCCACGTGTGTCCCAGTGCCAGGAGTAGCAGCAGCGGCCCCAGGCTCCTGCCCAGCTGCCCCTTGGCTGCTCCTCCCCGGCACGGAGGAGGCGGCGGCACCATCGGGGAAGCTCGCGGCTTCTTCTCGGCGCCCGAGCTCTCTCCCTGCGCTGTGCGGAAAGGCTCCGCGACCGCGGCCGCCTTCCCTCTCACCAGCAGGGGGCGCCGGAGAGCTGGGGCGTTTGCACCACCTGCGGGCCGCACTCAAACTTGGGGCGAGATGGGGAGAATCAAGTTGTCACAGGGGTGCCTGCCTTGCGCGGCCACCGGGAAGATGCTGGAGTCCTGGCAGTCCCTTTTGGACGTTCAGGCTCGAGTCACAAACTGGCTGAACTTGGCTTCAGGCTGCGCCCTCCTCTCTTCCCTCTTCCTCCACTGGGAGAAACGCGCAGAGTCGAGGCAACCAGGCGCTCCTTTGCATTTTTTTGCTCCAAGGTCTTAGCCTGGTAGGAGGAGTTGTTGGCTGTCACCAGGGCAAGAGGAGGAGAAGAGCAGGGTTAATAGCTTCCTTCCTGTTGTCAGTTAACTTCCATAGCGAAGGGTCAAGCCAATGTTTGCCTTTCGCCGGTGAGGGCCTTCTTACGCGTTTTTCTTCTATCCTGGTTTTCTCTTAGAACATGAGAGAGTGGGCAGAGGCTACAGGGGGTCTCCTATATCGCCCCTTTTGGAGGAAATTCGGTCATTTCATTCGTCCACAGCCCGTGTTGTGATTTTCTTGGTAAATGCAGTTCAGGACAAGTGAAGGGGTCTTGACTAGGTTAGTTTTCTCAGCCAATTAAGGAACTAAAAGGCAGGAAGGATGTCTGGCGTAGGCAGCAACCTTTGTTAAAACTGAAGAAGCACTCAGGCACCCACAGAGGGGAGACTCCTCAGAATGGCTCCAAAACGGCAGGGCGGGGTGGGGAAGTGCGGGGTCCTGGTCTTCCTCATGATTTCCAATTGGCAAACTTAAAAGGGGGAGGGGTGGTCGACAGGCTTATGTCTTCACGCAAACTAAGAGATACCCAAGTCAGCCAAAACAGGGATCCCTACGCCTGGGGGCGGGGGGCTGTGTGAGGGGGTGGTCTTGACCCTAGGTGATGAAGATACAGGGAGTTTGCCATCTGGTTTTTACCTATGCCCGCCAAGATGTTTGTCTGCTTTCCTAACCTTTGCAGCACACAGCGTCAGAGCTTAAAAATACCTCGGGGGAAATCACTGAAGACACCTGGGTCCATATGTCTCCTTGATCAGAGAAATCACCTGGCACTGCATGGGAGACGAGCAAACCATCCACAGATGTCACCTGCTAGGTCTAGATGCCCTGTTCACCACAACCCCAGCAGATCTTATTAAAGAGAAAGTCGTAACAGAAATGTGAACCACAAGGTCCAGAACATTGTGACTCAAAAATAAGTCAGAAAGGCAAGAAGTCAAATACGGAATCACTAACATTCATTAGTTCTGGAGCTCAGGCCTGAGAAGGTAGCTCATTCACAAGCTACAGGCGTGCCCACTGGCTAGATACATAGAAATGAAGAGCATGAAGCACCCTGGAAAGTAAAATCCAGCTCCCTCACAGACACACGTGCATTTTCAGCTGGTCATTCGAGGAACACTCTCACATCCTAGGGAACTTGAGAGTGACTTCCTTGGGATTGCTACCTGGATTCAGACTCAGGTGATGGTTTGTAGGTGGGTGGTCCCAGCTAACATTCGTTTTCTTGTTTTTAGACTGGGGAGTGTCAGGAGTACATCTCCACAGGTATTAAGATGAAGTGAGGCATGTAAAACATCTCTTGAGAGTTCTCTAGGCATCATCTTGAGCACAAATTATTCATTGCACAGAGTTTTAGTTTGGGGGGTTTCTGCTTCCTAGATATATAGGAACCTATTTGCAGCAGTTTTCTGGGTTCTTCAGGCAAGACCTTGATAAGTGCATGAAGAGTGGACATTAACTGTGCCGTAGAGGTATTGGATACCGCCTTGGAAGGAAAATGGCCAAGCTGCAGATAAGGGCTTACAGTTTTATTTTCTTACCAGTGCCTCTGTTTTGATAACTTGGTTTGTTTTCTTTCTCATCTTTAGATTTCCACTGTTTCATCACGGATGCCATCCTATAAGCAGTAGACCATGATGCCATGTGTGTAGGCAAGTCGCTTTTCAAGGAAGCTAATGAATGATGAAAAGACAAAACCAGCCAGATATGACGGTGTATACCTGTAATCCCTGCACACGGGCAGATGGATGGAGAGACTGAGGGCAGCCTGGGCTATGTAGTAGTACCCCAGGATAGCCTGAGCTGCAGAATGAAATCCTGCCTCAAGTCTAGAAACCAAAACAATAGTAACAATAAGCAAAGACAAAGGTGAAAGCAGAACCATGTCAGTTGTGTGCGCTAAGCTGATGTTGGCCACCACCTCATTGGCCCCTCCACTAAGCATCTGTGGGGATAAGGGTCCTGAGAAGATGCCAGCCAAGCAAACAGTCCATATTGGCCTAGGGAAGAATGTCTTGGTGTGTGGCCAGAACACTTCTGCAAGAGAAGAGCTGTAGCTGAGACCTTTTAAAACCTCTTTTTTTTCTAACTGAAATTCATCCAGCTTGGTGCTGTGCTAAGCAGGAGGAATGCATGATGGCCATCTATGAATACCAGTTTATGACAAGTTGAACAGTCCAGCCAAAGTCAAGCCTGCCTTTGTGCAGGCTTCAGTCTGCATGGAAGTTTCCAGAACTGCGTTTGCAGGAACCTCGGGAGTTTAGGTTTTTCTCTCCTCACCCTGCACAACTCAGGACTGATCTGCCCTATCCCCTCATCTGCAAACAGCTGGCATGAGAGAACTTGTCCATAGTCTCTTACACAGGAGTGTCGCAGAGATTAATGATAGGGACCTCGCATACCTCGGAGGAGGCTGTGTGGTTGTTTCTTTCAGTGTACCATTTGGCAGGGTTTCCCATACAGACCTGTCAGCTTCCCTGAAACAAACCAGAGAGGGGAGAGTTATACAATTTACCATATCCTAGGGGCCTGGGCTGGGAGGGAGCTTGAGAGTACACTGTGTGCTGTAGGTCAGGGCCCAGGAGGGACAGGTATCTTAGCAGCAAGGCTGAGAGCTTCCTGGGAGCCAATGAGGTAACTGGCTGTAGAATAGAGGCCAGCACCCTAAAGAAAAAAGAAAAAAGGAAAAAGGAAAGCTAGGCAGAGATTACACTTTCAGAGGAAGCTTCGGTAGTCAGTTTTCAAGAATCCAACATCTTATGGAGACAAAACTAACATACAATTAGAAACGGGAAGTTGCTATTGAAGATACTTTCCTCCAGAGGACAGATCACCACTATTGGATAGATTTCTGTGCCCAGTCTATTCCTGCATACTCTAGATCAGCTCAGGCAAAGGAAAAACCAGGACTAAAACTGAAGCTGGATGGAGGTTACCTGGCAGACTATAACTGCAGAGGGCCCTGCACTATATTAGACCACAGGTCAGCTCTTGGACCCTCAGAAGTCACGTCAGGATGTTTACATGATCAGTTATAAGAGTCAAGGGAAGGAAAGGCTCATAAATTTGCTTTTTAAAGAAAATGACAGGGCTGGAGAGATGGCTCATGGGATAAAGGCACTTGCTATTCAATCCTGGAGACCTGAGTTTGTTCCCCCAGAATCCCTGTAAAGGCAGAAGGAAAGAACCACAAAATTGTCTACTGAGTTCCACCAATGAAGAGACAGAATAATAACAAATTTTAATTTATAAATAATGGAACGAACATGCACGCACACACACACACACACACACACACACACACACACACACACTGGTCTCCCTGAAGTGCAGTCAGAATGACCTAACTATAAGGTGAAGGCTTTTTCACAGAAACAAGACAGAATAAAAATAAGGTAAGTAAAGTTCACTGAGCAGTGTGATCAATTGGCCTAGGATGAGGTGTCCCTAGAATAAGCACATTTCCCTAAGAGCTATCTTTCAGTTTCGGTTTTGATTGACATGCAGCCAGGTCTGCTTAGAGAATTGGGGTTACACCCTAAAAGTGTAAAAGTGTTCTTGTCTACACACCATTGTGAGGGATTGCTTGAGGCAAGAACAGCTAGGACACATTTAATACTGAAGCCCTGGTCTGGGGTGTGGTCATTATCTCTGTCTAAGCCAGCCTTGGTTTTAACTTGCACAGGCTCTAAAGGTTTACTAAAGCTCTAGTGCTGGAATCTTCTCCAAAACTAGGAAGAAATACCAGCTTCCCCATCCATGATGGAACCAACTGCCGGCCAGTTTTGAAGTAACATGTTAAAAAGATGAATTAAGCCACTGGGAAAAAATTAATTTGTAGACACTTAAAAAAAAAAGAGAGAGAAACCAATTACACCTTGGTCTTCAGAATGAAAAGAACATAATTTGTGTGATTCAGGTGTCATGTTTGTTTTTATGTGTATCTATGGGTGCACACACACACACTCACACACACATGCATGTTCACACACATGCATATATACTCTAGTCAGTCTCATATCTAGGAGCCCAAAGCTTCTCCTGTAGGGCACATGAGCCAGTCAAAGATGGCGCTGAGGGAAAGTCAGATGGGCAAGTCCTGAGTTGTTTACAAAAAAGATGATTGTTTGCCTAGATAGAATCAGATGAGGTCACTACAGGAACAGCTCGTGTTCACTAGGTAAAGCATAGGGCCTATGATAGGCTGACCTTTGAAACCATTGGCTGGCTGTTTTCCTGCTCTGTGGTTTTTTCTTTTAAAAGATGCTTGCTGTGGAATAATGTGTTTCTGCTTGACTAGACTCCCTGCCGTGTCTGATTATCTCCAGGATCCTGGGAAACTGGGAAATGGGTGAGCAGTGAGTGCACTTACCTTTCCTCAGACCCAGCTCAGCCTTCCGTGGTTGGGCTAAGACCCTGCATCTCCCACAGGATGACCTCCTTGCAGAGATAGGAGTCAGCCTCTTCAGCTGTCAGATCTATAAGATTAGACCTAGGAGTTTGGGATGGAGAAGTGTGTTCTCACTACCCCAGTCTGTAACTCTTTTCTCCTGTAACGGTGGCTGCAGGATGCATAGCTAGGATGAGGGTGACCCTTTCTTTATCTTGCTGTCCCCCATAAGTATAAACAAGGAGGAGTAAGGAGCCAATAGCAGAGCCAGCCTGTAAACTCCCTGTTTTTTAGAAAACAGCATTAAGGTCACACCAGGCTCTGCCATGCCAATCCCAACAACTCTGCTTCATTCTTACAGATCTGATCCCCTTTACATTCTTTCACTCATGAAAGAAGTATTTAATACTTCCTGAGTCCTACGAGATTCTCAAAGCATCAAGTCAACTTGACACCTAACAGGAACACTGACCTAACCTTTTCTTATCTGAGGGGTTGAGGAAATAACCCCATTAGTAGAGTGCTTGCCTAGAATGCATGAAATCCCAGGTTTGATCCCTCACACTGCAAAAACCAACCACTGTTGCACCCACAGAAATCCCAGCATGTAGAAGGTACTGGCTGGAAGCTCAGGCTTTCAGGGTCATCCTTGGCTCTATGACAAGTTCAAGGCCAACCTGTTTCAAACCAAACAACACAAAACTTTTCTGATGTGAACAAATATATCCACTCCCATGTTTCTGAGGATTGAACCCAAGACCTTGTTCATGCTAGGCAAGTCTACTACCACTGACCTACATTACTAGCCCACCAAGACATCTTTTATAGTAGAATAAATATAGAGACTGGAGACATAGCTCAGCAGTTAAGAATGCTTGTTGTTCAATTGTGAGGACCAGGGTTTGAAATTCCAACACCCACACCAGGTGGTTCACAATCACCTGTAACTCCAGTTCGAAGAGATCTTATGTCCTCTTCTGGTCTCCAAAAGCATTCGCACACATGTGTAAGCACAAACTCACACAGAAACACATATACACACAAACAAAAATAAATCTATGTATTATATAACTATAAAAATCATACCAGAACAGTATGCATATTTGATACAAAATAAAAAAAAATATACTGTTTCCTTCTGTATATGGAGTTGACCTTGTTTCTCTTCATTTAAAAAAATTGCTTAGATAAATGGCATCATGGATGGATGGATGGACAAACCCTTGACATACAATTCAGATATGCATTCTACTCTGTGTGACCCTGATCACCTTGCTTAAGCCTCCTGAGACTCAATTTATCCATAATAGCACTGTCCAGATCATAGCATTGTTGAAAAGACTAAGTGAGGCTACATATTAAGCCTGTGGTGCCAGAGATCACAAATTAAACCTACTCTTATCTTGATCACGTTTTTTCAGTCCACCTGACTCACCTAATTTGCTTCCCATAAGAAATTTATTTTGTCAAATATATGGCTATGAACAGAGACACCCTGTCACAGGACTGCCTAATCTAAGTAGCTGATGTCATTAATACTATGCTTTATCAGATCACACAGAATAACTATGGCCCTGAGTAAGTCAAGCACAATAACAATTACTAGAAAATAAAATATAATACTTCCCCTTTGAGAATAGCTCTGCTTCTGAGCTCTGTCTGCCTGAGTTCTGTATATTTCCAATCAAATCATGGTTCAGGAAATAAATAGCTTAACCCATGTGTGACCAGTTCCATCGCCAATGTCTCCAGTGTCAGGGGTTGAACCTTGAACATCATGCTTGACTGGGCAAGAGTTCTACCCCTGAGCTACACCCCAGCCTTAGGATACTCTCCTCAAACCTACCCACTAATAACTTTTGTATTATTTTCTGTTGAGCTGGGGGCATCAATAGGGGATGAAGCTCGTGGCCTCATACACGCTGTCCACCTACACCACTTCTAGTTTTATCCAGCTGTTGAGCTCTTCTTATTGGAAGACGCCTAGAGAGTTTGCAGCAGGGTAAAGGGCCTTGTCTGAGTCCACTGACTTCCAGAAGAGCACTTGTGCTTAATGGAAATACAGAAGTTGGCTCAGGTTTGGAATCCCAGCTACTGCGAAGACTGAGCCAGGAAAGCTGCAAATTCAAGAGCAGCTTGGGCTACTGACTGAGTTCAAGGCCAACCTAGGAACTTAGTATCTTGTTATGACACTTGACTAACATACACAAGGCTCTAGGTTCAATCCCCAAAATATTTTTTAAAGTATAGGTCATACTTTGTAGGAAACTCTTAACTTTCATATTGCAGGTTGTCTAGTGGAGTATCAAACCCATTTCTTAACAAAATGGAGGCCTATTCATGACAATGCCAAGAATGCTGCATTCCTGCAAGCTGTTAATAGGGAGTGATATTTTTAGAAGAATTTGGCACAAAGCACAGTAACAACAAATAGTTCTGGGGGACTTGGTGGTGTAGACATGGCTCTGTGTGCCTTATAAGTATTGCTTCATTTAATCCTTGTTGCAATCTTATGTCCATGGCTCTATTATTTCCTGCATGTTAAAAGTGAAGAAGCTGAAGCAGCGGTTTTAATTAAATGCCCGAGGCATAGAACTGTAAAGATGATGTGGGCTATACACACTATATTCTCAATCGTACACCAAACTACTTCCTGGAAAAGTGAGCCTAGGGGTAGTTTGCTCATACCCCCTGTGTTTTCCTGGGGAAAAATGTCCAGTACTGTGGCTGTAACCCTGAGAATCTGATCCTCTTTCTGTGGCTTTGTGTCACTCACCTGGCCTGGCTAATTTCTTACCTTTGTGCCCTAGCTAACCTCTCTTTAAGCTGCATGCAGGGGGCTCGCCCTCGCTCTCTGGTAGGGAACCTGGCTGTGGGCACTGGCTGCTGAAGAATGGAGATCAGCTTTCAGTGCGTTTGAAATACAGGTGTTTTTGGCAAAGGATCTCTACAGGCCCAACCTAGACCCAAAAAAGGGGGGCTTTGTCAGACCTAGAACTCTCTGACGCACAGAGATTATATAAGCAGCCAAAGCAGAATTTTTATAGAAAGAAATAGCCAGAAAAAAATGTCTTGAAAGTTTCAAGAGTCTGGCATACTCCATGAAATCTCTTCATCTTAGAAACTGATCCTTGGAAATTCACAAAGGAGGGTGAGCAATCAAAACGCAAACTGACTATAGATAGTTGCTTTGACTCACCCTTACCTCCTCTCTCTCTCTCTCTCTCTCTCTCTCTCTCTCTCTCTCTCTCTCTCTCTCTCTCTCTCTCTCTCTCTCCCTCTCCCTCTCTCTCTCCACACACACACACCCTTTCTCTCCTTTCATCTCTCCTCTCTCTATCCCCCAAGCCCAGTCTCAAGAACGCACATCCCCAACTCTCTCTGCAGTGGATGGTTTGAAGTCCACATGATTGGCCCCTCCAGTCCTCATCTTTACCAACAGTGCAGAACTCCAAAGGAATGCCAGATAAAATAATCTGACTTCGTTTATTCCACTCGTTGCACGATCAGGAAAGTGTTTACCTTCTTTCTGCTTCAGAGATGTTTAGACCCGAGTGTGTCTCTCTGAGATGTTTACTCAGTTTCAAACCTCTGTTGAACGTCAAGATCATTAATCAGAAAGTGAGCCCTTTGGAAGCTTCTTTCAGTTCCAACATTTATCTGTGGTCTAATTATAATGAGTCTGAAAGTTGTGCATACCCAATTTGACATGGATTTGGCTCTAGCATCTTCACATACTGAGAGAAGACCGATGGGCCCTGACCCTGTATGTCAGTAACCCATCATTGAACCCTCCCAGTGACCCATTCTTAAATAGATCCCATCTCAAGCTGGCGGCAGCTCTTGGACAATGGTTCCGCATATCCACCAGGGTCTTTTTCTCTCCTTGTCTGTTTGTCTCTCTGCCCATTCTCCAGCATTGATCATCTTAGCTGTTACCCCTCATGTAGTCAGATATTCTTGAGTCTTTTTAGGTTCAAGTTTTACTGTTTTTTTTTTTCTGGTCTATTCTTTCTGCCATTTCCCCCTAAAGTACCCGCCCCCTGCCGCTATGAATTTCTTTCTTCAAATCATTGGTTATTGACTGGTGGGGACAATTTTATTAGCAGTGGGGGTGTGATGATCTCTGGAGACACTTGCTGCTGCCCCCTAGGGCTGGGGAAGATGCCTTTACCTCAGGCATCTTGTAGGTAGAAACAGGCTGCTCACAGTCTCCGGCCATGCCCAGAGCTGCTCCTTCCACACACACACTGAGGAAGCTGGCTCATGATGTCGGTGGAGATGAGTTTGAGGAATCTGTTAATGGCCTACTCATCTGCCTCTGTGCTCTTATCACCTGTTTCTGGTTCACAGCCGCTTAAGCCTTTTCCTTGGCAAGCCTGCCTTTTATCTCTGCTTCCATTTATCTGCCTTCTTTGCCTCATGTTCATCTTCTGGACCCTGTCTCCCTCCATCCCCCATCTTGGTCTGATCGCCCCCCTGAGGTTTCTCCTTGTCTTTCTGCCTCTATTTTCAAGGCTTAGTAAAGCAACCACCTTATCTCGCCGCTGTCCTGGAGTGACCCCAGGATCAGTGAAAATATTTTTCTTAGAACTCTTGTTTATTTTCCAAGCCTTCACAAATCTAAAACAGCCCACAAGCTCCATGCTTCTGGTTTCAAAGTCTGAAGCAGGTCCCATGGGCCTGACCTGTGCAACCGCACTGGCCCTCAGATCTGATCCCCACCTCACCCCATCCCCTTGATCCTTCCTGCTGTGTCTCCCCTGCTCACCTGCTGCAGGCTGCTGGCTTTTCTTCATGATGCTGATGTGCACGTGGGGCTTGCATTGATTGACATGGCAGTACCAGCTCTTCTCCCACTTAAGACAATGAAACAATGCTTTTCCCCGTCTTCACTCATTCTTTAGGGAAAGTGGTGAAGGCTGAGCAGATGCTAAGCACAGCTGAGTGTTTGAGTAACTAAAATGAATGAGACAGGCACTGGTGGCTAGTCTTCACTGTCAATCTGACTGGATCAGGAATCACCTAGGGGATATACTTTAGGGTTTTTCCAGTGATGTTTGACAGAGGGGAGAAGAACCACACTGCATGTGTGTGGCAATAAAAATGGGGAAGGGAGAAATCAGCTGAGCACCAGCCTTCAACCATCTCTGCTTCGTGACTAGAGATACAATATGACCACCGCCCCTTGTGTTCTGGGTGCCATGCCCTCCCTGCCATAAACAACAAAACACACCCTTTTTTTTCCTTGAGTTGCTCTTGTCAGTTATGTTTTTCACAGCCACTATAAAAACAAACTAATATAGAAACCAACCCCCAAAGAGTTATCTTCAAGAGTTAAGGGTTGTGGAAACTAGAGAGGAAATCTCCTGTATCCTACTGTGGCTGTAACAAGTTTCAACAGCAGCCTTCATGGTGCTGGAAAGTGCTATGCTTGCCTCCATAGGAGAAAAGTAATCACCAATCTTACCCAGCTAGCTGGGAATAAGACTGAGCTAAAGGCCAAGTTTTCATAATTAATAACAAGTCTCTGCGTCATTATTTGTCAGCTGGCAACCCAAAGGATAGTCGGACTACACAACTCCTAATAACTTATCATACCCATAGATTAATGCATCTCCCAACCCTCACCAGGGGTTATTTCTATTGGCAGTAGTTGAATATCGACAGAGACCAGCAACTGGCCAAGGTGCAGAGAAAAAAAGATTTCAGAATGTTCTGCCTAAATAGAACATTTATATCACACCCATCTTCCAAAGGCTCAGGAGTCATTTCAGAAGAGGGAGTAGAAAGAGTGTGAGAGCCAGAGTGTAGATGACCACAGGGGAAAAGTGTCTTCTGGGTACATCGAAGGAGCTTTGCATATGAGTACACAGTGGTTGTGATAATATGCACAAGTCTTGCACAAGTCAAAACAGCAAGGAGAGGAGAGATGGACATGAAGTCTCACTCCTAAACAAGGAACTAGGCAATTGCTAGCTGCTGGAAGAGGGAGAGGCAGATTCCTCTAGGAATGTGTAGTCCTGTGCGTTGACCACTCTCCTGTAGAAGACTGTATGTCCAAGAGCATTTAGGCAGCATAAAGTGGCCTTGATAGAAAAAGAACATGGAGTTGGGTGGAAGAGAAAGGAATAGATCTGCAA